TTTGGTGATTTCTCCCGACCGATTCGACTTGAAACAACATAATATAACATAACTTGATCTTACATGCTGACTTTACTCAAAATTAACATACTTCACTTAATGGACTAACGGAGTGCCGAGGTACGCACACCGTGCGCGTATGATCGACGTCAAGCCAATCCCTGGCCCAAAACATGAAATTCTTCCGACCAACTTAACTTAACTAAATATAAAATGATCTCAGCTGGCCAATTAAACATGAGTTACTCGAACAAATCTGATTACAACGCACGATGACATGATAAGGCACACAACGACCCGTGGACGTGCGCTATGTGCGCAGCCCACTTCATTAAGCAAATTCATGGACCAAACATCAACTTGTCTCGACCTATCTTTCTAAACTGAACATATAATGACCTAAAATGATAAAATAAACATGAATTGCTCGGGAGTTGCTCGATTAGAAATCAAATTAACTCGAGAGTTGTCGGACAAAACCGAACGTGGCTAGACATGACTAAATTCACACGCCCAAGAGCAATTATAAGCTATTCATGAACCGAGCTATTTGAATATGATCAGGTTAACTTAAAAGAAGGGTCAAGACAAGCTTACTGCCTCGACCGCTCGGAGCTCGCGTGCGAACGTGCGTGAACAAACTCTTGAAACTTATGGTTGTGTGTGCGGCTACTACCTCTTCTCCGTGCGTGGTGCTCAAATGACTTAAACCCTCTTAACCTCACTTAATTCTTCCTTAGTAATAAATATAAGTGTAGACCAAAATTTCTCCCAACTCTTGGTATATATATACACGAATAGAACTAATAAAGAGGTGAGAATTTTAGTGTCCAATAATCTTGCGCCAAATGCTAAGAATTTGGAATAACTAAGTGGTAATTTCTTAGCTTAGTCATCAATTACATAGATTAGTCACTACTTAAAGAGGGAGAAGAGGACACCTCATACTTAGAAAATGATAAGTTTCCCTTGAATTATCACCAAAATTGCTTACGGCTTTAGTAGCAATTTAATGAATTTTTCTCATGAATTTATACTAAAATGTTCACGGCATCTTAGTAACTAAGCCTATTGAAAATTTCCAAAATGCTTACGGTATTACATACATAAGCATGATTTAACTCTTAATTAAGCACAATATTTTGCTTAATTATTTAACTAAGCATGATACTTAATTACCAAAATTATTCCGAACGTAAACGAGACTTCGAAAATAATTTCAGATAATCTTGACTGAATAATTAATTCCGAACTCATTAATTAAATAAATGAATCGGAATTAAATCTGGAAACTTATTCGGTTACTGAAATAATTAAACCGAATAATTTATCGACTAATAGTCGAATTTGAAATATAACTAGCTGAATAACATGGACTTGAACATTAACATGAATATTTATTAATAAAGGCTAGCTTTTACTCGAAAACTAGTATTTTTCTTTATTAATAAAATTTGGGGTGTTACAAGTAAAATCTCTATAAATTAATAATGTCGGGACCATAAAATTTTATCAACTTAGAGAGATATATATTAATTCATCAATAAATTAAAAACTTATGTGCAATCCGTATAAGCCTAGTGTGCACTCGCAATACATAAAATATACATAAAAATAGTTTTTTTTTTTCTTTTTTTATAGTTTGATACGTGCAGCGTGTTGTTTTTTAAGATGCAACATGTTGTGTTATAAGGTGCAACGTGTTGTTGCATAAAGTGTAACATATTGGTCTATAAAGTACAATACAAATTTTGGTAAGTTAATTAACACGTTTGTGTTTCATTTTTTTCATTATTATTATGTGGATAGTTGATGTGATGGATACGCCCGTGTATTACACGGGTGCTTGCTATTTTTTTTTTTTTAAATTTATACTTAATGAGAAAAAGTAGTTAAAAATTTAAATACCTTTTATAAAAATATATATATTATTATATATTTCGTATGACACTTTTTATTTGTGCAACTTACTTGTGTTATATTATAATAATTTTTTTAACTTACAACGTATAACTACATAAAACATAAATATATCAATTGAGAAATAATTTTATTTTTTTAATGAATTTTAATAAATATTATTATGTTTTATTATTATAAAGATAAATATATAATTTATTTATTTCATATATACGATATAGATGTCAAATCGAAGATCATCAAAAGATGATTAATTTGATATATTATATATGTAAAACCGATAAGAAATACAAAAGTTATCAACTTTTAAAATACATTTACAATTCAATAGCTAATTGAAGGAAACAAATCAAAAGTCAGGGATATATTAGTCACTTAGTGCCTCAATATACAAAGAATTAAAAAGTTACATTAGTACAAGTGATATTAAAATACATAAGTTAATTAAATAATATTTTTGATATGTTCGAACCTAGATTATTAATTACTATTATATCAATATTATTTGTCCAAACCTAATTACGAAGCATGATTCTTCGCCAAGTATAATTTCGAAGCACCAGAAGCAGCCACGTAGGCTCAGTGCATTCGAGAATTATATATAGGGGGATGTTGTGTATTGTTAATAGTAGGTTGTTGACATTACTTGTGGAGTGTGTTTGATAAAGTGTAACGTGATGTTTTATAAAGTGCGACGTGTTGTTTTATAAAATGCAACGTTCCATTGATTTATACTTTCCCAGATAAATTATGTGTAATTGTAAACTAGTTTAAATAAATGTAATTGTAAATTGAATTAAACTAAATAATTAAAATATTTTATTATTATTATTATTATTATTATTATTATTATTATTATTATTATTATTATTATGATTATATAATTTATTTGTTGTTAAAAAATATATTTATATTATTTTAGTATTTATATTATGTTATTATTTATATTATTTTCATTTAATAATTTATTTTGTTATTAATATATATCAATAAAAAAAATATAGAAAAAATATATTTTATTAAATTTCACTAATTACATATTTGACTCATCGGTTAAATTAAAATATAGTTAAAATTATTATAGTTGTAAATCGGTCCCTAGATATAGTCTAATCTAAAAAAATGCCAAACCCCAAGTTCAGAGTTCCAAACTGTTTGTTTCATCACCTCTCACGTAGTGGAGGTCGTGGTTCGAGCTGCATTAGGCGGCGGAGGTCGAAGCGCCG